GTGTACCTCTGGTGCAAATTACTGACCTCTGTCATCATTTTAAGTGGGGGAACTTGCACAATCGGTGGCTGACTAAATACTTTTTTGCCCCACTGTATATATTTAGTATACAGATGTGAGAGTGGTGGCAAGTACCTTGTTTAACTTTACTGAAGAAAAAGGCATATTTACACAATGTATGCCTGCTGTGACAGCCAACACTACTATATGCTATACTATTACATCCTCCTACAGCATCACTGTCTAAAGCTGTCATTGTTTGGTTATTAAAGCTTTCAACCAACAGAAAACTTGCCACCTCTTCCCTTGAAATGAAATCACTAAAAGCCACTTAATACAGTCGAGTCTCTTTGTAATCCTTTGAGATAAAATATCTTCTGCTCTTCCTGCTCCTGTTAGAGTTGACCTTCAGTGGTATTTAGCTGCTGGCAACATCTATTTAAAATGGCACAACACTCGCTCATCAACAAAATGACTACTTGACTCTTTAATGACACTGACAAAGAATGCAATACAGATCAGTGATAAGTGGTGGATGGATCTGCAGACTATCATCAAATGCACATTTTTGAAAAGGAATAACTTCAAATAACCTTCTGTTAAAATTGTTTGAAAAAGTCTGTTCTCTTATTTTATGGTGTTTTCCTGAAACCGTGGCTGGATTTTGGGAAGCGGACATCTGTTCTGGATATTTGCTGCATATTTCTTCACTGTAGAGAATCAGGTATTTGGTCAAGTTCTTCTTGTTCTTCTTGGCCACAATCGTGGTTTTGTTCCAGCTGAGGGGAAGATCCAAATAGCAGCATTTGCTCAGGGGCAAAAATCAAAGAGATAAAACCAAACTGGAAAAAACGAAATACTTATTCATTTGCGACTTCTATCTTATTGGTCTTGTGATATCCAAACACGAAGAGGATGAGAGGCTCTCTGTTGCTGCTGCTCATACTGACAGCTTATATCCAGTCTCTGTGTGTAAGTACGTGGATCTGGCACGTTTCTTTTTACATAATTTACCAGGTAGGCTGATCATTTGAATTTAATTTTAAGTAGTATTTACTTCATTTTTTCCTAAACCACAGCAAATGTCAAATGAAGTTATTCTGCCTAATGTATGATGTTAGCTGTGTGTCGTATTGACCAATTAACACTGTAATCTACCATTTAAGCATATTTTGACAAATGATGAAATCAACTTAGCTACGTAACTTTATGTCTTTTTTACCTATTTTAAATTGCAGGACATATACAAACTCAGAACAGTTCATATTTAAATATTTATGAAGATTCATTGTAGGATCAGATGAAAGTTGTACCACTCAGGAGGCAGAGTGGTTACCTACCAAGTGGAAATTTGATAGCTTGATCACTGGCTCTTCTGGTCTGCACAGGCAAGATACTTAACCCCGAATTGCCCGAGTATGTGTCAATGGTAGGCAGTGAGTGTTTAGGCAGGCAATAAAGAGTGGAAGACTGCTGTATAAGTACCAGGCCCAAATGATTCAGTTTGAATTGTACAACCTGATCTTGAATTTAACATAAGAATAAAAGTAAGTATTAAACAATGGCACTTTATGTGGCGTATCAGATTTCAAAATTATAGTTATTCAGCTTGTCAAAACTGCAAATGCACATAAACATTAACTGGATATGAAGCTTGGAGCAGAGGGTTAAATGTTGATTTGACTGGAAGCTGATGCTTATTTTTTTTTATTAAAGAAAAGTTTTAGTGATGTGTTACAGGGTTGGATTCAGTTTTGTTGTATAATCTATGTTTCACTCTGTATATCAGCATAACATATGATATCTATCATATGTTATGTGTAGAGGAGGGAATGAGAATGATGATGATTCTTACAATTACAGCAGTACAATTATGTGTGTGTAGGCGTCAGACAGTTGCCGTGAGGAGGCGGCTCGTCTGCGGGAGCGGGAGAATCTTCTGAAGGGCCAACTTCAGAAACAAGAGCTCCTTCTGCACAGATTACAGCTCCTGAACCAGCCTCGCAACAACAAAGTCAGAGGTGACCAGAGCCAGGACAGACAGTATGCAGGTCAGGGCAACACCTTCAGGACTAGACTAAAAATATCTTCTTTGAAAATCTCCTGCCGCAGAATCACAAACCAGATAATGTGTTAAATACAAAATATGTGTCTACATATTTAAATTTGAGGGTGTATGCGTCAGATTGCTCCCAGGTCTTCAGCGCTGGCCACAAATCCAGTGGTTTATACAGAATCAAAACCAATGACAGCCCTTCTCCAGTCCAAGTGTACTGTGATATGAGCGACGGAGGTGGTTGGACCATCATACAGAGACGGATCAGCGGAGCTCGGACATTTAACAGGTGTGTCTTACATCTAACAGCAAGGGTAAAAAAATTTCATTATTTACATTTTAACAATTTTCTATTTGCCTACAAGGTCATGGGAAGAGTACAAGAATGGTTTTGGGGACATGGATGCAGAATTTTGGCTCGGAAATGACAACCTGCATTACATCACCGAACAAGGTATTAGCAATGTACTATATTATTGTTATTGTTTAAAGGTGCAGTAACTGATAGCATATATTATCAAGTGGAACACAATAATGGCAGAACATTGCTCTCTGCTCTTGTTCACTACGCAATGACTTGTGGGTAAAAGTCAGTGTCCTCTGGCATCAGTGGACTAGTTACAGGTTTTGGACATGTTTTGACGCAACAACGATAGTGTTATGGCCCCCACCATATTGTTATTATTAGTATTATGTTTTTATTTTATTTTATTTTTTTGAAGCCAGAAGCTATCAGCTAATGTTATCAAGCTTGGTTACCATGATGAATTCATAAACTCTAAAACTGAAATAGTGCAACACACAAACACAAATATCTGCTAATTAGTGCTAAGTAAGCAACATTAACAAAATACTAGAATTTCACTCACCAAAACTGATGCACAGACTTCCTGTTGCAATATGCAAAAACGTAACAAACACAGTTGGGTGGTTCAGGTCAGTGAATACTATTAGAGGAGGTGAGGTGCTAGCTACAGCTACATCTGACCGTCACAGTTTAGTAACACTAAATTCCCATAAACCAAATACAGCCTGTTGAGATGTGATTGGCCAATACTTGGACTATAGACAGACTACAAACATAAACCAGAAAGCTTTGAGTACAAAAACATTGAATGCATAAAATCACATGGTGCACAAAATAAGTTATTACTGCTTAAAAAACTGCTACAGATCCTTATTGTGTTTGCAGGGGTCAAGACTTTAAATTGCTTTTAAATTGTCATTTTTGTTATGTTCATGTGTTTGTTCCAGGGAATTATACTCTGAGAATCAACTTGGAAGATTTCGATGGTAACCAGCGCTACGCTGAGTACAAGAACTTCAGAGTCACGGATGAAAAGGTGACGATGCTAGGCGACCGCTAAACTAATAGATAGTAGACTTGACAGTCATTTAATGTGATTGTTTGTTGCTGGGGAAAATAATCTTGAATCTCATGCATGTCTCTGATCAGTGGCTGTCCTAGCCTGTTTGGCGCCCCGGGTGAACACTCCTTCTTCTTGGAGCAACTGTAGCCCACATTATTTCCTTAGGGATTAATAAAGTATTCTGATTCTGATTGTTTCAGGATGACCTGCCATTATCCAACAACCAGTGTTGGGGAGTAACGGAATACCGCCGTTATGTATTTAAAATACAAAATATGAGTAACTGTATTCCGTTACAGGTACCGTTTAAAAAGGTGGTATTTAGAATACAGTTACTTTGTTGAAATAAATGGGTTACACGGCAGTACTTTCCTGTTTCATATTGTGGCGGGTCAGGACTGTTTGGGTTTTGTTTGACAGCTACGTT